TTTGGGAGGCGTACGAGGGGCCGAAGCCAACTGCGCAGAGGCCCTTTAGACAACTTTAATATAAATGTAATGGACACACAACTTAACTTTATTATTATTATTGTTTACACAACCGAGAGTTAAACCAGTGACCTTGTGACCACCAGCTGAACATACAACCGACGAGACAATCCTCGTTACATATGACGTTTACTCTAAAAGATTAGAGAGAGGTGTTCTTCGCTCGCTATAATGAAAATTTCATCACAGAATTTCGTCTTACCTACTAGACCCACTTATCCCCGTGCTTAACCTTTGTTAATAATTTATGTGGGACTTAAGAAAAGTTATCAAGTACCTTCGTGCCTTTTAACAAAGAACATTACTGTATAAAATATTCATAAATTATACTGTGAGAGTGGAATTACGCTGTGTAGTCATAGTCGGTAATCTTCTGCGTAACATGAAGAGTGGCTTGTGAATCATCATCACTTACTTGGCAGTAGTGGTCGAGACCACCATATTATTTATAGTTAGTATGATCTGATATAAACCGTGGTTGTCTACATCTTTTGACTTTTACTTTAACTACAATACTTAGATATTTGAAAAACAAGACGCCGTTTTCAATTTCGTTTTCAAGTAATTTATGTAATTGATATAAATTTAATGTAATCAAAGCAGCGAAATCCTGCCAAACTTAATAAAGACGCGCGTCAAGAAAATGAATATTTTAAATATAAACAACTCTCATAATTACTGAGGCTTCATCTAACTCGAGTGAAGGCTTCGAATAAAATGTACCTAGACTAAATTTTTCTCGAAACCCATTAAGATGAAAGGTATAGGCATACACGGCATACACGATGCCTTCTGAATATAGTGAGTAATAAAATCTTATTCCACTCGAGAGATCTTACGGCTACCATCTATACATAAACTGGCAAAAATCCCATAAGGACGTAAACAGATTCATCAGCATAAAAATATTAGCAAAGGAAATTTTTACGACTACATTTTGATGCAAACTCAGTTTCCTTATCTATACTTATAATAAATCTGTAGGGAGGTCAATTCTGTACATAAAATATATTTAAAAAATAACAATCAAGGGGTGGTTAGGGATCGCTACTGATGCCAAAAATGCAATCAGTAAATTTTTTGTCTGTCTGTCTGTCTGTCTGTATGTTCGTTATGGAAACAAAAACTACTCGACGGATTTTAACGAAATTTGGCACAATTATTCTTCATACTCTTGGACAGGTTATAGTATACTTTTCATTACGCTACGATCAATAGGAGCAGAGCAGTGAAGAGAAATATTGGGAAAACGGGAGAAGTTACTCCATTTTATAATAAAAATTCGGAACAGAGGTAGAGTATGGTGTTGGGTTTTTCTCGTCGTTGACGACAATCCCGATTGTAATTGTAGATTGTAGGTAATAATTCAGACTCCGAAGTTCCTTTAGGTTTACTTGTTTATTTTCCGACTACCAAAAGGCTACGTTTAGTTATCTGAATCGCACTTTACGTATTATTACGTATTCTATGTTAGTTCC